GATCATTGATGTAAGATTTCTTTAACAAACTTGCGCCAATAGGCCACGACAAATAGTTACCACTTGTAGGTTTACGCTGTTATTTTAGTCAATTTCGAATAATCCTGCCAAATAACCCGAATACTGTACATAATCGCTATATAATGCATCTGGCCTGGGATTGGCGACAAGAGCACGACTTTTCTAATAAGCATTCAACATATGTAATACTCTTAGACAAATAATTCATTAGTTGTCTGAGATTAAATTTTTTGTAATTGTGTTAATTCCATGCCCTGCTTAAATAAGCATGTCGAAACACAGTCATGTTAGTTGAATCCTACATTTAGCTGATGAAATCATATGTTTTAATATGTGTACATTTCTCCAGGACGTGCCACAGCTAAAAACATAGCGAAACTATTGAAACCTTGCCTGCAAGGAAATAGTTGATACAACTGGTTCAGTTAATACGAAGAATTGGCTAAATGTTCTACACTTTTTCTACTTAATCTCTTCGCATTACACTCTTTTTCAAGCTGTTGCATATTTTTCCTCTCATTGCATTTTTTCTTTTCGTATTGTTCTATATTTTTTCTACTTAATCGCTTTGAATGTCTTTCTTTCTCCAGATGTGAAATATTTTGCCTCTTTGTTTTTTTCTAAACTCTGATTGATGATAACACTGGTCTTTATGTTTCTGTTACATATATTGTTTTGTATATCACCTCTTACGATCAATAACATCAGCTTTTACATGCCTCGATTTGCCTGTATAATTCTTTACTTAACATATCATATTGAAGAGTTGAACTAACATCAGCCTTATTTTGAACCTGATCTTTCACATCAGTAGATAAATCTTGCCAACTAAGTATGTGATATGGTTCTTGACTGTAATTGGTGGTTTCATAAGAATTACTAATTATTTTTATCAACTGATAACATAAGCCCATTCTTTTAAAACCTTTTCGATATCAATAAGTGATATCATCAATGACTGTCATCATTGAATTTATACCAGTTATTATCAGATCCTTTAATACAGGCATAGTAATTTAATAGATTAGACTGATGTACTATTACATCATATAACTTGTATGAAGTATTACCATAGTAACTGCTGCTTACATACTCAGACATGTCTAAATTCATTGAATAACTGACAGGTGTCACTATTTAAGAATGTAGTTTGCAAATTCTGGAGTATGTATTAATACTTGTATAATAATATTTGAAGATATTTCTCTTTGATTTGTTAGTCTGTCAAGTTTGGTCCATAAAATTATCAACTTTCTGGATAACATCTAATTCTACATGATTAACTGACTGAGAATATATTTCCCCCATTTACTTCAAGTTTGTGTTGTTCACTGTATTGTTGAAGCTGTGACTCGCATGCTCTTATTTCCTGTATGTATTTACGATTTTGTTCACATTTCAGTCAAAACTGTTGCCTTCGAGAATCTACATCTTCAAACACTGCAATCTTTATTTTTGGAGTGCGTTTTTAAATTAGTATTATAAAAGCTCTATTATTCTGTTAATAGCTGAAACAAATTCCTGTGAATTTGGTTTTCAAAATTTATATACTTCAACAACAAAATGTTTTGTCAAATAAACTGTTTACATATTTACATATTTTTGAGTACAATTTTCCTTTCAAAATGTGGATGCAAAGTTTTGCTGTTGTATGTATATATTTTTGCATTGTTTTTGTTTTGATAACTTTGGACTAAAGAGACATAATTTTCTTTTTGCTTCAGACCTTGATCAAACGTTTGGCACCAAAAGATTGTTCATAGGGGTGATTATATCAATTACCTGACATCTTGTTTTCTGTTAAAATTTTATTGACTGCACAATAACTTTCCATGAGAGTCTAGTATTCTTATGGGATTTGGGAGATACATTACCAATGATAATATTACAAGATAAATAATTTACTTCATTGAACACATACAATTCTTTTTCCAACTGGGATCAGTGACATATGAATGTGTATCACCAGTGATCAGTCAAAATGTATTATAAAATTTCTCATTTTTTGCATGATATTTTCATACAGGAAATCTATTGTTTGCACTAAGGGAAGATTATATACTGGTGAATTAGGTGACCAAGTTTGATAAAGTTTGGATTAGAATTAAGTTATTGTGCACACATTAACTATAATTAACAATCAAAGAAAGCTTAGAAAGAACTCCCGTGTGCTGAGAGTATTGGAGACACATTAAAAATTAATTCAAAATTACCTGAACTTGAGATGTTGATGGAAACGCAGAAACTAATTATGCAAATAAGGTAACTGATATGAACAGATTTACGTGTAAAACTA